CGGGATTTCGGACGGATCAGGACGGGACGTTCAGCGGGCAGCTGCCCAGCGCTTACGCTACACTGGGCCCCGCGTTCAAGGCCTAGAGGGCGGCGAAGGGCTGAAGCCTCTGCGGCCCTTTCCCTGTTCGAGGGTCGGGAAAGCGGCCGGCGGCTGCTCTGAGTGCACAGCTGCAGCGGCAGAGCTCTCCTCTCCCCCCCCATCGCGTGTTTTCCACCAAAGTGCACAAAGCGAGCCGGCAGCAATGACCCAGGGCAGGTGCTGGACTCTGGAGAAACTAAACTGCATCCCTAACCCTGCCTTCAGGTGGTGCACCCTTCTGGGGGTTTTTACAACCCCCCAAGAGAGGGGATCCTACAGCTACCAGAACCAGGCACTGCAGCAGGAGGAATGCAGGAGGAGCTGCTGTGGATATTCCCACACGAAGTCAGAAACTAACCTAAAACCTGAACTCTCCAAAGCCACGTTAACTTCCAAGATCAAGGCAAGTGCACAAAATGCAATTACACGAGTAAAGGCACTTATGTGAAGCTGTGGGCCCCATCACTCTCAATTTCAAGACGCCTTTGGACACGCTCTTAATTCAACAACTATCGATGGAAAACGAGAGAAATGTTTCTACGTCTAGAATATTTGTTGTAAAACAAAGATCAAGCCTCCCAACGAGGGCACTTCATGTGTTTAACTCCTTTGAAAAATTATAAACCCATTGCATGTTAACATAAAGAACATTTTTTTAAAAAATAATGACTACTTTAGAAAAAAGTTAGGAAAGTGGGCAATGGGAACCCCAGGAAATGCACTGCCACGTCAGTCCTCAAGTCCTGAGGTGCCTTGATGTAGAAACATTTCTTTCATTTCCAGCCACATGACAGGTGGACAATATTTACTCTACAGTTCCCTGGTTTGCATCTCTGCCATTCAAGAGACCAGCCCAAAATATTGGCTGCCTCAGTTTATTTTGCACTTTGTGGTTCCAACTGATCATATCATTCTCGCTTCCGATTCCTAAGTCAGTTGATAGATAACCACAGTAAAACTGGATTGGTGAGTGTGACTTGGATTTGGGGCCAAAATGAAGTTTCCTACAACTCTCCCTGGAATTGAACTCACTGGGTCACAAGCAAATTATAAAGCAGCTGCATTTCTTCCATCTCAGGAGCAGGCCTGACCAGGGGAGCCCATAGATACCCTGACTGGGAATCGAACCGCTGACCTCTTGGTGCATGGGACGGCTCTCAACACACTGAGCCCCACCGCAGGGCTGTGAAGCTATTCTTAATATTAAGGTCTAACTACACCACATCCAAATGCAAACACACACACACACACACACACACCCATTCACATATGCTCTCAAGTGAAAGGCTAACCCAGAGAAGTGAATGGATAATTCATCACACCCAACACGGGTGTCTTAGAGCCACTGGTCCTCTTGGACGTGATTTCCAGGTAATGTCCATTTCCTCCTGTGATTCAATTTTAATTTCGTTCTCACTTTCTTACAATTTATGGGTTAAATTACAAATTTAACCACCCCCGGTACGCGTAATGTACAATACCAGCGGGAAACGCCCACGTAGAGAAGCAGAAGGCAAAAAACCGCACAGTGGCCCTGGTTCAGAACATAGGACCTATTTTTGGGGGGGCGAAGATGGGAAAGGTATGGAGAGGGACTGTTCTGGTAATTGCAGGACAGCGTGTGTGTGGTTAATGCCTCTGGACTGCACCTTTGAAAAGGCTAAAAGGGTCAATTTTATGTTATGTATATTTTACCACAATAAAAAATTACTGGTTGGATGTCCAATAGCTTTTGAAGCACTTTTAAGCTTTTGAAGCACTTTGAAGACTCCAAACACTCCAAATTGTCTTCCTCTTTCTACTCATTAAGTTAATTAATTAATAAGCATTTATCGAGAGCTTTTATATTAAACAGTGTGCTAGGCGCAGCAGAAAATTCAAAGCAAGGCATCTTTCTCTCCCTGAAATTCGTCGTTCAGTTCTTCCTAAACCGAGATGAAAGGAAAACCGTTTAATTTCTTACATGGTTTTGGTTTTGCTGGGAAAAGGTTGCTAATAGGTGTGTTGGGGGAAAATTTTTTCACTTTACAAATAAATCATTAAACAAAGTTAATTGGATTTTTTTAATGTGCAACTTCTTTAATATGCTAATGTGCATTTTGCAACTCCAAGACAGGACTTAGTAAACTGAGAGGCCTAAATGTATTTGATCGGGAATTCTTTGCTCTCCTGAGGCCCAGTTAATGAATATCTTGCTGTGTCGTGTGCCTGCCAGGTGAACTACAGATGCACCAGCCAGGCGGGGGTTCTCTTTACGCAGGACTGAACGAATTATGCAGTCTGTGATTATGGTATGAACGCCTCATTTATTTTATCCCTAAGCGTTACAGAATATGTACAGGATTATTTTAACATTTTTTAAAAATTAAAAATATAGATTAAACATTAACTAGAGACTATTAAAGTCATTTTCTAAAGTAATTTCTTACCTCAATTTACAGCTCTCCAGCGCGTTTATGTGGCATCGAATCTTTTTTAAAAGTTATTTCCATTTTGGGGAGGAGGACCTGCTAATGGAGATTTTGCAGAAAATTGTGATGCTGACGTTGTGGTGTGTAACTTCTAAACATTTTTAAAAGTTTATTTTCAATTACAGCTGGCATTCAGTATTATGTTATATTAGTTTCAGGTGTGCAGCATAGTGGTTAGCTGGTTTTATACTTTACAAAGTGCTCCCCCAATAATTCAAGTACCCACCTGACACTATATAGGTATTACATTGTTAACGACTATATTCCCTATGTTGAACTTTATATCCCGTGGCTATTTTGTAACCTAAACATTTTTAATTAAGAAGAACAGAGCACGGATCCTCATTCTTTTCTTGATAAGAGGATTCCTCCTGAGCTGGACCCCAATCAACAGCCTCGGGGCCTGTGATTTTCTCTCTGCCTTTGGATAATTACAATGTGATTTGCAGCTGTTCTTAATGCATAATTTTTTTTTTAAAAAGTCCCCATTTCTCCTTGACTAGGCCTGGACTCCAGGTCACAACCTTCAACAATATACTCCCACATTTTCTACATGTTCTCTAATTTTGTGCCATTTCCTCGCAATTACACAAGGTGGACCAGTTTAAGTACAATGAGCGTCTGATTAAAGCTAAAGACTCAGCAAATCTGAGCCCACGTCGTGATGTTAATGTCGGCCTCAATTAATCTTCATTAGCTGTTTCACTTTCATGTTTGTAAAATGCATCAGGCCGTTTAAATAATTGCAGGAGCTCCACAAAGGAATGGAGACGATGGAGCGGCCAAGATCAGACATTCTGCTGTGAAGGGCAGTGGAGTTCGCCACCCCAAAGTATGCCTCTTCGGGAAATGGATTATTTTAAGCTGGTTATTTTTAAGAAATCAAAGACTCGGGGGGGAAAAAACACACACATACAAACCTTTGACCTTCCCCCTAACTGCCCAAAAGGATTTAGATGGAGAACCTGCCCCAGAAGGGAGCCGTCATCATCGATAACCGTGCAGAGCATGAACCAGGTGCCACAGACAGGGAGCAGACAAGACCCATCTGTTCTGGGTCCTCTCTGTGTCACCCTGTTAAAGATGGCCCGGCAAACATTTTGAAAAAGAAATGTAAACCACCTTCCTGCCTTTGACATCCTAAACCATAACCACCCCCAACCACCTCCACCTCCCCCTAAAATCTGTGCCCACCCCGAAGAACCTCAGAAAATGACTTTATTTAGAAAGAGGGTCCTGGCAGATGTCAGTAAGGGAAGGACTGTGATGAGATCAGACTGGATTAGGATGGGCCCCGCAGCCGACGAGAGTGTCCTTGTAAGTGTCAGACAGACTCCAATTCAAGTGGAAAGGACAGGTTTTAATCAGCAGTAAACTATCAAAATAAATAAGAGGGCCCATTGGGAACTGTCCCCTTTAACCTGTGCAGAGGTGACCGGGCACTTTAAAGGGAGAAGGAGAGGGGCGAGGGCCTGAGCAGTCGGAGAAGTGGAAACGTGCAGAAAGCGGGAGGGCAGGGTTGGTGTATGTGGGACCCATGTGGGTTTGCTAACTGGCCCTTATCAAAGTTAGACCCCTACCCTTCCAGGGAGACAGGGAGACAAGGGCCTATCTTCAGCA